AACCCGGCCTGCTGCGGTCTCGCGTGCGCGTGCCTCCTTGCGTCCTCGCGTGGTGTCTGCCCTTTGAAGGCCGCGTTCTTGTCCCCGTTCTGCCTGCCTCCACTGGCATGTAGACTTCCTTTGTTCTCGTGCCCTTAGGAAGGCCCGGGTGATAACTTGCGTGCTGAGCCGTCCTAACACTTTACATCATAACACGTTCGTCAATCCGTCAATCTATTAACGTTGCCCATAGAGTATACAACACGATTAAGCTATTTGGCATTAGGAAAACTCAAGAAAATAGACCTCTATTTTAATTTGGTTGATGACTATCCGATACCTCTGTAGGTAGCAGACAGTAGAAGAGTCTGCACCAAGGCTTAGTCGTAAAGTGAACGAGCTCTCGGATTTTACGATTAAGTGGTCCCTCACCTTGCAGCAGTGCTACGCTTAGGCCTGACTAGGTACCAATCCGACATACAAATTTCCTATGAAACGATCACAGCGTATGGCTAGATTTCCGACATGGGTACTGCTGCTCGCCATCCTAAAAGGCTGCATCCGCCCTCGGAAAAATTCTAGAAGCCCTGGGAGGGAGGATGTTGCTCCCCTCCATATTCTCGCATTCGGTATTTACGGAGGAATCAGCCCTTCGCAGATCGACCCCTCACAACCGCCGGCGGGAGAGCTACAGCTTAAATGGATCACCGGAGGGCTGCAGTCGGCACTCTAGTCGCCCCGTGAAGTCGCACTTCCTATCCAACAGCAGTAATAAGTAGAGCCGGCTTCCGCAAAAGAAACTAGTTTCGGGAAATGTCCTTCCACTATTTGTAAAAAAAACTTTAAGGACACCAATGACTTGCGACGTTACTAAGCTTCTTCTTTGTCTGTGTACTGGTTGCTTGCGAAGTGTACTGTTTGATTATGTCACGTCACCTACGCCGTGCTCCGGAGACACCTTTGAAAACGAGTATCTTGTGCACGCTCTGTAGTGCTGGTAGTAGCCTTTTTCTATGACTTCCGCCCGAATGGTTACGTCTTACTGATCCTAATTTTGCTCCTTTCTCCTCAAACTTACACGAATTGCGTCATTTTCTACGCCAGGCGAACTCCCACAATGCACAAATCATAGCGCGCTCTCTATTCGGCCTTCTTGCTTTGATTACAGGTTCACTGACACCCTTGTGGCTCTTCTACCACCGGACCTTGGCATTGTGGATCGATTCCTCGCTTCAAAGTTGCAGCAACAAGCACAGCAACAGCAACAGCAGTCGGATTCGCGATCACCGGCTTTTCTCACCACTTGGCTACTGTGCACACAGCCGTTAGGTCCATCCTCCAGTCACGTGGAAAGCGGTCGGCACAATCAGCGGCAATCGAATTGCCCAGAGGAGGTCCTGGATAAGTTACTATCGCGTATGGACGGGCTGGAGGTATCCTCGGTTAGTTCTTGTCGCTTTCGTTGCTGAACGTTCACCTGACCACCGCTAACAGACCTCATCTGTCCCGCTCTGCCTTGGGTGTCGCCAGAGGCCCCGACAGCCGTAACAGATGGTAGTGTAGGCAGATACTATTACCGGCAAAGTCAAGGGAGACTGGAATGACCACTTCTGGCTTATTAGCTGTTGTCAGCCAGCCATACCCTGATCCAAGGGGTGCACCACCCGAGCCTCGAACTCGCGACCTTTTTCATCAGAGTCAAACGCCCTAACCATTGAGCCACGAGCTCGTCATCTCACCGGTTTAGGTCAGGGGATATTGACACTCGTTAATGAACGTTCACCTGACCGCCAACGGGACTCATCTGTCCCGCTCTGCCTGGGGTCTCAGGTTCGAGGCTCGCGTGGGGCACCACTTGGGTCTGGGTATGACTGACTGACAATGGCTAATAAGCCAGAAATGGCCAT